GAGAGAGAGAGAGAGAGAGAGAGAGAGAGAGAGAGAGAGAGAGAGAGAGAGAGAGAGAGAGAGAGAGAGAGAGAGAGAGAGAGAGAGAAGCCAGATTTCTGCCAGAATGAAGCAATGCCAAGCAGGAACGACCCGATTTCACAGATAGATGACAAAGATGCCCAGCAAGGGACAGAAAGGAAAAGAGCAACTTTTAGAGGGTTTGGAGGAATTGGACAGGCAGGTTGGTGTGCGTTGGATGGGCATGAAATGCCATGAATTGTGGAATTACAAAAGATTGACCAACACCCCTCTTCTTTTCCAGCTCATTTTTCAAGTTTGCACAACACAGATGAAATTTTAAAATTTTCTTTGCTTTCATCATTCCAAGGCAACCACGTTCTAAACCGAAGATGAATACCTCTGCACATAGACCTACCGTCTTCACCATAATAGAACACAAGTTACACAACCTTCAATGGTCATTCTAGCTGAGTTTGTTGAAATATTTCTACATACAGATGATACAGTGATAATGACCGCAGTGCGTATTCTATTTGCGGGAATACGGTAGAGTGTGTAAAGGCAGAAATCTCTGTCCAGTCTGAAAAGGGCTTACCCAAAGAAACTGATCCTTGACCACAATGTTGTTAACCCTTAAATCCAGCTGCATACAAACCACCAAACAGATGGGGGAAGCAAACATAAATACATAAATAAATAAATATACAAATAATTTAAAAATTAAAACAAATAAAATATTAAATTAATTTAAAATGTAAATAGTAAATACAGTTTAATACACAAAGAAATAAAGGAATAATAAAGAGATCCAGATAAATCAAGGGTATCCGGATATCCGGTTTTGCTACTTAGTAAATAAATAAATAGTAAATACATAATACATAATAATATAAATAAAGAAACAAATGAGACCACACTCAATGGCATGCCCAAATGCCAATAGCAATGCTCTCACATGGCTATACAGTATAGCATAAACTCAGCGGTGTCTGCATAAATCAAGCGCAAACATGTCATACAGGAAAATAGTCGGTCGAATAGTTGTATGACCTGCAACAAGGAGCAGCACACAACATCCAGGAGAAGATCATCCCTTGGCAGACTACCCACAAAATGACCTTTTTCAAAAAAAAAATTGCTTTTTTTTTTGCTCCCACTTAAAATTATAATCTTATTATATTAATTAATTAATCGATTAATTAATCGCATCAGCTGTGGGACTTGATTTCTGGTTACACTGAGCCGATTTTGATACTCAGGGCATACTCGCGATAGGACTGTTTTAACTGACCTTTGGACGTAATTGCGGTAAGATAATTACGTCCAAAGGTCGGTTAAAACAGTCATATTGTGAGTATGCCGGGCCTGAGTATCAAAATCGGCTCAGTATAACTACAAATCAAGTCCCACCGCTGATGTGCTTAATTAATTAATTAATTAACTAATTACTTTACGACAGGTTTTGTATGTATCTTACCGCAATTACGTCCAAAGAAGAGTTAAAACAATCGTATCGCGTGTATGCCCTGAGTATCAAAATTGGCTCAGTATAACTAGAAATCAAGTCCCAGAGCTGATGTGCTTAATTAATTACTTACATAATTAATTAACATGGTTACGATCCCGACATCCGGACTGCTGTCCAGACGTTCTGGATTCAGTCCGGAATCCAGACGTCCCGTCCGGGAGGTCCGGATCTGCCAAATTTCCACACAAAAAAAAAAGGTCCCAGGACCCTTCCCCACTGAGGAGCCGAGCTCCCAAAATTGTTTTGGGGGGTTTTCTAACTTTTTCAGGCCCGGCTTTGTTTTTTCGGGGGTTCCGGACATGGCCTATCTCTATAATAATTTATTACACATACCCATTTTTATAATTATTAATTATTAATAATTCCTTACTTTTTTAAAGGATTTTAAACTTTTGTAAGTTTTTTATTGTTTTTTGCTTTCAACTCAAGTTTGGTTAGGAATTCTGACTTGACTCTGAGGCAAAAGTGGTTTGTATTGTTATTCTGCATAACATACTTTTTTTCAGATTTTTTTATTTTTATTGTTTTTAATGGTCCGGACTCCGGACATTTCCGGACCTGCTTTCGGTCCGGACCGTCCGGAACCATACATGTCCGGAGGTTCCGATGTGTCCGGAAGTCCGGACGTCTGGACCCAACTGGACATGCATGGTCCCCGGACATGAGCTGTCCGGGTCCGGGTCCGGCGTAGCCATGTATATTATATACATCCGGGGAAGTCCTAGTATGAGCACACTCGGGTTCACAGCACAGAGCTACTCAAGACGGAACGATGAGCCAACCAACCGACCAATCAAAACACTGACGATGACGATGCTGCAATCAGCATCACCACCAAACTAATAATCAAGCTCAAATAAAGTTTAATAATAAACTGAGGCAACCAACAACATTTTCAACAACCTAATAATGAATATGGACTCTCTCAAATCACTAACTGCTTCGAAAGAGGCATGTTTTTTTTTTTTTATACTTTTCGGCTAGGCTACCAGAGTGGCCCGGGGACCTTGTCCCACTTGCACCGTGTAGGTGAGGCAGCTCAACGGTGCGACAGCTAAAAAAAATCACTCTAATTCAATTTCCAATGAGAAATGCATTTATAAATGGCACGAATACAAATTATACAATTGTTCTGGTTTTTCTTTTTTCACAATTGGAGTGGCATACAGGCACTTCCACAGCAGAAAATGAAGAGTGAGCTGCCCGAATCCCTTTTGTACAAAAATGGCAAACAGAAGGAGGCTCGTACAGTTTCTCCAAAAGAACTCCTTTGGGGGGAACAAGAGGGTCGTTGAGCTAGCTGTCTCGAAAAAAGGAGACAGCTAGCTCAACGCAAAGTGGCGAGGGTAGGGGGAGTTGTATTCGAGAGAAAGGATTTACTTCTGCTTTTTGTTGTAAGAAAAAGCAAGGTTAGTCTCTATTGCCTTTTTTTATTAAAAACGGACCGCTAGATGACTTGGACGACGTGCATCTCCGTTGTCGCATACAGTCACACAGCGTTGAAAACCCAACGTTGACCTAGCTCAACGGAGCTCGTGGGACAAGGTCCCGGGTCCACTTGCCCGGCCGGGCCAAAGGATATAAAAAAATAAAAATAAATAAAAATTACTTTTCAAATTTCAAATTTACAATTTTAATTTATTTTAAATTTGGTAAAGAATTTCGATGTGGCCCTGGAGTAAAAGTTGTTCAGTTTATTTTTCAGCATAACATAGTTTTTTTTCGGATTTTTTTTTTTTTTTGGCTGGGACCTTCCCTGGTCCTTGCACGGCTGGACCGCCCGGGAAAATAGGGTGACCCGCGCGGCCCGGCTGGTAGCCCAGCTTTTCAGACTTTTCCACGGTGCTCCTGCCCAGGTGCAGGTGTGCCTACTGGTCTTACAGAACTTTGGAACTTGACCCCATTGTGTCCAATCTCGTTAAGTTTCCAACTTTCCGCTGCATTGATTCTTTTTTTTTTTTTTTTTTTTTTTGGGACCATTTCTCGATTTGTGCTTGTCATCCCTGTGCAGGGGGGCCATGCTAATCTTCTCTGACACAGGGGCCATGCTAATCTTCTCTGTATCGTTCCAATTTTAACGGACGTCCCAGAGGAAAGTGGATGCTAGGTTTTGCTTGCTCAGTGTTCTCACTTTTGCTGACTTTCCTGGACTTCTATTTGCCCAACTGTATGGCAAATTCAATAGTTAGAACTTAAAAGAAAAGAAAAGAAAAGAAAAGAAAAGAAAAGAAAGAGAGGGAGGGACCCATGAATGCCAGGAGGTTTTGCTCTCTCTCTCTCTCTCTCTCTCTCTCTCTCTCTCTCTCTCTCTCTCTCTCTCTCTCTCTCTCTCTCACCCTCCTGGACTTCTGTTTGCCCAACTTTACGGCAAATTCAACAGTTGAAAAAAAAAAAAAAGGAGAAAGAGAGGGTCCTTGGTTTGCCATCAGCCAATCACTTCCCCTCCTTACCCCCATCAATCAACGAGTCCCAAGCCAAAAAAGAAGGGTACATCCTGAAGGGGCATAAAGTATTTCTGTACCTTCAATTGGTAAAGCCGCTCCTCCATGCTTATTTCATGAGTTTCATATGCTCGGAACTCCGAAATTTGGGACTGTTTCAGGCCAAAAACCAAACGATTTGGCAAACAACTACTCAGACAAAAGGCCGCGGCATGCATGCTGCGCGAAGAACAAGAGCAGGGAAGAAAAGAAAGAAAAAAAAGTTAAAAAACAACTTTTTTTCCCTCCTCTCTTTTTCAGTTCGACTCCACAAAAGAGGCGGGTCTCTTTTTTTTTTTTTTTTTTTTTCCTGCTGGAAACCGGGTCCAGCGTCCCTTGAATACATCTTTACAATCTTTCCATTAAAGAGACACCACTGTGCTGGAAAACGGGTCCAGCGTCCCATATTAAAACTATAACCCCCTTCCTAGCCTGTGGCCAGGTCAGGTAAAGGGTGGAAGGCCACTGGGGGCACCAGTGGAGTTTCCCACCTTCACCCGGCCTCAGCCTACCCTCTACTTCCCTCGTGGCGTCTATTGTATTCTATTATTATCTGAGAATCCTGTGCAATGTCATAAAACGGGATACTCTCTTTTCTGCTGGAAAGCGGGTCCAGCGTCCCTTGAAAAACCTTTTCAGAATGGAAATGATGCCACAGTGCTGGAACCCGGGTCCAGGAAATAATCAGGATGGGAACGGTACCACCAAAGCCAAAGGGTGAGGGGGAAAAGGGTCTGCGAAGTCCTGAGCAGGCCGCAGCGGGATGGTGGGATCAATCTTTATCCATTCGCGAAAGTGAAGCTGATAATCCCTTGTAACCCCTTCCTGCTGTCCCCCCTGTGCCTGTCCATCCTCTGTCCAAGTTACCCTTGCTACCCAACCTTCCCTCCTCCCACCCAACCAATCCTCGCAGAACTGTGAAATAACCCTGTCAATATCCTTGTTGGCGTGCAACTGCCTCTGGGGAAAGTGTCCCAGAAGTATAGCCCTCCATTCCCATGGCCAAGTCGAGCCCGGTAACAAGTGTCGCCAGATTCTGTCCCACCACCTCCACAGTAGGACAGCTGTTGGACACTGGAGGAAGATGTGCTCTATCGTCTCGGCGCATTTTTTACTGGGGTAGCCTTGGAGGCATTTATGACACCACGACAGTGCTCGCCCCTGTTGTTCCAAATGGGAGTGATCTATTAGCCAGTCGTTAGTTGGTAAGCACCGGTGTGCGATCTGCCATTGTAGGGCGGAGATTTTTGCCGGCCTCTTTCCATAATCCGCGAACCACCTTATGGGTTTTAGCAAGCCGCGAACCACCTTATGCGTTTTAGCAAGCCGCGATCTACGATGAGATGGTGATACCATCTATCCTCTACAATATCTCACAGCCTACGTTTAGGTCTGAGCATTCGGTATACTGACTTAGATTTTAAGTCAGCAAGTGTTATTGCCCGTGCCCTTCCTCCCCTACCTGAATTTCTAGAGTTTCTTGGATCACTCTAGGACTATTGCCATTCCTCGAGATCGAAGGGGAGATCCTCAATCAGGGTTCTGGATCGATAGGCTCTCCATCCTTTACATTCGTGAATAACTCCGACACGATATACTTCCTTTCTTTCCTTCCAGATAAAAGGTTGGTTACTCCCTCGTAGTTGATCCTCCTTTTGAATGGTGAAGACTTCGATCAACACTTGCGTTTGGTCTACCAAGTGAACCTGCCCAACTTGATTTTCGCAATTGGAAAAACCCACCCAGTCCCCTTCTACCAACCGAGGGCCCTTCCGGAGCGTGATGTACCAGTGAAGGGGAAAACTATCAATGAGGTCATTAAGTGCGTCCTTAGTGAAATGACAGTATCGCAACCATGAACGCATTCTTTCTGCGCTTTTCCAGTCCCTTGTATCTGTGTCCCAAAGGTCCCCCACCCTCCTGACCCCGTGTTTCACCCAACCTTTCCATGGAGAATCTGAGCTACACCTCATTCAACCGAAAGAATATGTGATCAATCTATTACCAAACAGGGGTTGTCTGAAAATTTCCTCCCACCTATCTGGTGTTGGGCAACCAGGAGGGGGAATCTTCCTCCATACCCGTAAAAGGCACAGCCATTGTTCATCTGCGGGGTCCCCATTTCTGTATTTCCTCGGTAGCTTCCAGCTCTTGTCTTCGAGCCACACTAGAGGGCCGATCTCAGATGGGGCCTCGGGGGCCAAGGCTGCAATTTGTGTCAAGGCGAGAGGGACCCAGGGCGAGGATGATGAGAAGATGAGATGTCGGAGCCAACGAAAGTGAAGTGCTTGGAACTGTGTAGACGGATCCACAATTCCAAGCCCCCCTCCGGCCTTAGGCTGAATTATCGAATCCCATGCTACTCGACTAATCGCATGGGGGTTGTTGCTATCCCCTCTCCATAAAAAGGCCGCCAGTTGTCGTTTAAAAGACCTGAGGCCCCTGGTGCTCATGGGCCATAGTATGGCTTTATACCAGAGTGTGGCTAATACTACGTTGTTAATGACCAAAGCCCGCCCGAATATAGAAGTGTGTTTACTGTTCCACCCTGCGAGCTTATTGTGAGCCGGCCCCATCAGCCATTCGTCATTAGTGACGGGTTTACCCTTAGCCGTAACCAATGCTCCCAGAATTCTAAGCGGGCCATTTAGGGGAAGCCAAGTATTACGGGGGTTCTCAGAGGGCCTACCTCCTTGATGGTGTAGCCACCAACCTACCGTCTTTTGACCCCAATCGACAGTCATATCTAACAATCTACAAAACCTATTCATAAGACACTGGATTTCCTCCATATTCTCAAATAGTTTATTACTCACAAATTCACAATACGTTGCTCAACATGCAGGCGATAAGAATCAGACCCAATGAGACATGGGAGGAAAAGGACGTACGGACATGCCTCTGCACCATCCTTAGAACCGGACTGCTGTCGGGATCCGAAGAATGGGACTGCGACCAAAAAACATGGTCCCGCTTGTCAAGCCCAATTCATTTAGGGCAAAAAGTTCTTGTACAGGCAGGATCATCTTTTTTGGTTCCAGTCCCATTCTTCATGCATGCTGTGCAAGTACAAGAGCGGTGCAGAAAACAAACCAAGTTTTATGCTTGGAACTCTGAGATTTGAGACTGTTTCAGGCCAAAAACCAAACACAGTTGGCAAACAGCTACTCAGACAAAAAGCCGCAGCATGCATGCTACGCAAATACAACAGCAGTCCCCCCAAAAAACAAGTTCGTTGATGTTTACCTTGCAGGCCTTGTGGCATTCGGTTCTAGTAATTTTATTTCGTATAAAAAAAAGAAGCTAAAATAGGGCAACATATAGGGGTCAGCCTCATGATGAGTCGGTAAAACTCCGACGAAACAGTACGTCACAGCCCCTCGTTTGTTGTCCTCTTCTCCCTCTCTGCGTACGGTTTACCGTAGGCAGCTCTGTTTGATGATATGTACAACAACATTCATTAATATTATTAAATGTTATATGAAAATGCAAGGAAAATGAGCGATAGCAAAATGACAGAATTCCAGATTGCAAAATCACCATTGAAAGCCAGGTAGCCGAACGCTGTCCAGAAAGCAGAAGTGCACTGACATTCCATCAACCGAGAACCAAAGAACCGAATCCGAATGTCCAATTAGAGCATACTCTCGCCACCACCAACGTATGTATCCAGAGCCCTTCCTCCCACTTGGCGCTCAGCGCCCAGACTACGATCACGCAGCTACTTAACCAGCCTACGAATTGACAATGTAACCAGTTGACGTCAGCAGCAGTCACCGAAGTACATGCAGATGTCAATCATCCAGACCTCCACGAAGACCAGGTGCGTGCCCTCACATCATACCTCTCTCTCTCTCTCTCTCTCTCTCTC